AACGCGGAGTTCTACGCAGGTCTCTCTGTCTCCAAAACATATACCCAACCAAGCCCTGCCAGCCTTCTGAGTCCCAGAATAAGATGTACTCGTGGGCCTGTTGGCACAAATGAGGCAGCTGTAACAGCTTGCTGTCAAGCCGGGGGCTTTCTGTTGTTAATTTTAATATCTAGGAGCCCTGGTGGCATCATGGACTGTGCGCTGAGCTTCTAATTACAAGGTCGGTGGTTCGAATCCACCAGCTGCTCTTTGGGAGAAACAATGAGGCCGTTGACTTCTGTCAAGATTGAAAATCTTAGAAACCCAAAGAGACAGTTTGTCTCTGTCTTATAAGGTCACTATGAGTTGGCTTCAACCGATGGCCGTGAGTTTGTTTTGGTTTTTTGCTTTTAGGAGTTTCTGAAGAACATAGCTAGCGCTGAGCAGCACTTCATCGGCTTAACCTACCAGCCCGAGGAGAAGAAGTGGAGATGGATCAACAACTCCAAATTCAATGGCAAGTATGTGAACATCCTATCATTCCCTGGGGTCCTCTGCCTGCCCCAGTTGTTGACTGGACCAGAAGCTCGGGCATCTGTCCTACAAGACAACACTGGGAGGTGGCTTCCTGATCTGTGCCCCTCTTTTCTTCCATCCTAATTGCTGTAGTGTACTACACCTGCTGTTGCAGAAACAGCCAAATACCACAGAAAGAACAGAACTGCATTTCCTCGCAGCTCAGGAGACTAGAGGTCCAAAGTCAGGGTGGACGCTCAGGGGAAGGTCCTTCTTGACATTTCTCAACTGTAGTAGCTGCTAGGAGCCCTGGTGGCATAGTGGCTATGAGTTAGGCTGTGACCCCTGTGGTCAGCTGTTCAAAACCACCAGCTTCTCCTCAAGAGAAAGGCACAGCTCTCTATTCCCATAAGGAGTTACAGTCTCAGTTTTGGTTTGTTTCTTTGCCATAACTTACACATCCAATTAATCCATTCACCTAGAAAGAGCAATAATAACAAAAATGTATAATTTATTGTGGGCTCAGGTTGCTGGGAGGGTGGAGGAGGGAGAGGATGAAGGGAAGCTGATATCAGGGAGTTCAAGAAAAAAGAAAATGGATTGTAAATGATGATAGCAACAATTGTACAACTATGCCTGATCTAATGGAGCTATGGATTTTAATAATATCTGTAAGAGCCTCCAATAAAATGTTTAAAATTTTTTCAACCAATAAAAATTTTAAATAAAGTAATACATATGTATATATGTAAAGAGAGAGAGAGAGAGAGAGACTTACCTTCCCAGAAACCCACAGAGGCAGTTCCACCCTGTCCTATAGGGTCCTATGCATCAACATCAACTTGATGGCAGGGAGTTTGTTTTTGAGTAGCTCCCAGCAGCCCATAGCATTCTTGTGCTGGTCAGTACGCCCGCCTGCCTTCACAGGGACACACCCCTTAGGTGTGTCCGTTTTCCTTATTCATAAGACCACTGAGAAGGGATTTGTTCAGACCCCACTGAACCCCTACATGACACAACAAAACAAAGGGGGGGGGGGTTTCTGAACAGGACCTCGTCCACAGGGTCAGAGGTCAGGACTTCAATGTAATTTTTGAGGAGGACCTAATTCCATTCATAGCAAACTATCTATTTCCAGAGACACAACATTGGTAAATACTTTGTTACAGAACAAATATCAACTCTTCAAAAGCACGAGAAGAGAATTCATAGAGTGAAACATTTTGTCCCGGTCAGGATCCACCCACATCCCATTTGGTGGCTCTCTCTCGCCGTCATAGATCTCACTCGATTGTTACGCACCTATGTGATTTCTTATCTTTAAAAGGTTGTGAGAAGCAAGTCTATGTGAGCACTCAACCCCCGGATGCTCTCTTCCACGAATCATCCCAGAGCTGGGGGAGAACACAGCATGCCTAGTGCACAGATGGGAATATGGAGCCAGACAGAGAGCAAGTGAGCTCGCCAACCTGTAACTGGGCCTCCCCAAACTCCAAAACCAAACACACTGCCACCAAGTGGAAGAAGACTCATAGGGACCCTGTAGGATAGGATTGAAATGCCCCTGTGAGTTTCCGAGACTGTAACTCTTTAAGGAAGTAGAAAGCCCTGTCTTTCTCCTGCAGAGAAACTGGTGGTTTTGAACTGCTGACCTTGCAGTGACCAGCTCAATGCAGAACCATTATGTCACCAGAGCTCCTGGGTCTCCCCAAAGAGGGCAGGAAATGAGCTTTTATCTGCATCTTGTAAAGACCAGGTACCCTAGTAAGCATCCTGTACATGTTATTCCCTGAAGAATTCGTCACATACTATTTCTTTAAGGGCTCTTATTATTCCTGATTTGACAGATGGTTAGACTGAGGGCTGGAGAGGTTCAGTAATGCGCTGAATACCCCCCCCCCCAATGGGAAGTGGTAGAGCCATATTGTGATTCCATACTGACTCTTGGCTTTTCCATGAAACAGACTGTGAGGGACTGAATAGCAGACAGTGGAAGAACATCGTCAAGTGATGCCAGAGTCAGCTGGTCCCTAGGGGAAGAGTAGGGATCTCTTTCCTGTGCTCTCCATCCTTCTGCTGTGCATCCGGTCCGTACTCAAGTATCTAGGGCATTGTTTTGAGAAGAAAAGAAGGGACACCCATGAGATGTTCTTAACCAAACACAAGAGTGAATATCATGGATCAAATTGTTACACACCCCTCCAAATACGTGTCTACTTGACTAGGCCATGATTCCCCACATTGTACGCTTAATCTCCATTCTGTGTGCAGTGGTGCATGTCCTGTAGACACAAGGTCCTCGTGCTGAGAACATCCTAGACCCAGAGGAAGATTAGTACCAAGACTCTTGTTGATCTATGGCTGCTGGGCCCACAGAGGTTGACAGGAGACTTTCCTCTAGAGCCAATAGAGCGAGGAAGTCCTCCTCCAGAACTAGCACCCTGAATTTGGTCTTTTAGCCACATGAACAGTGAGAGGATTAACTTCTCCTTTTTAAAGCCTCCCACGTGTTAAGGGATTTCTATTATAACAGCATTAGATTACTAAGATAATGAGTTAATCCAAGACTCAGAATTCATAGAAGCTCATGGGAAGGATGAGGACAGCAGAGGAATCTAAGGAGAAAAAGAAAGTCGGTTCTAAGGATGAACTCATGGACATGAACTGAGACTCCTCACTCTGGAGCCAGTGGGACCTTAACACACTTTCTTTCTCACTAGCGTCACCAACTACTCTCAGAATTTCAACTGTGTGACCATAGGCCTGACCGATACATTCGATGCTGCATTATGTGACATCAATTACCGCTGGATCTGTGAGAAGAGTGCCAAATGACCACCATCCCTTCGGTCTCTGATGAGATCACCAAATACACCGGGGAAGCAGCGGAAAGAGCACTTACACCTGGAGCAGGACATACAGGGCTTCCGAGCACTCCGTCAGCCATCCACAGACTCCTTGAGAAGATCCCTAGTGGATCCCAGGACTCACACACCACTCGACAAATACGCACGCATGCACATCCCTGAGGCAAACGCCCCATTCTGAGCCAGCAGTCCCTAAGACCCCTTCCCTGTGAGAATCTCCCTTGTGGTCCATTGTAGATGCACGTAAGTCCTCTGGTCAATGCCCCGTTGTCAATATGTCTACTAGTAGAGGTCCCTGCTTGGTTTCAGGGATGAAATTTGGGGCTCTGCTTCAGAGGCTGGGTGGTAGTCACCTCAGGAAAAGGGTCCATTTCATGGAGAGGACTCACCTGGTGTGACATGGAATCTGTTTCTATAGAACTTGGCATTTCTGATTGACCAGCAGCGATGTGCCTGTGGCCAGGGTTAGCTTTAGCCTTAAACATAGGCCTACACAACCATGGAAAAACTGCAGACTATTCTGGCATGAAGGTCCTTTAAAGAGTTTTATGAGTGGAAGAGGATAAACTAAGCTTGACCCCATTCCTGGTCCCAAGAAACACACCTTCTGTCCCCCTTCCCATGGGCCCCCGGGTGAAGTGGGAGAGGCCTCTGCAGTCAGCAGTGAGGCCAGGCCTGGGGAAGGACACCTAGAGCAGAGCCTGGGTCAGGCAGGGGAGTGCTCCGGCCTCAGAAGACAGCCATGAAGTCAAGTGGTTGAGCAAACTGGCTCTCTCTTCTTCAACAAAGCCCGGAAGGGACTCTTGAGCTGAGCAGTTTTCTTGATCTGACCTGACCCTCCAATATAGCAAAGATGCCTCCTTTGCCACCAGAATTTGCATAAGTACGTTCCCTTCCTTGATGGCCTGACCATACAGCATTGAGTGTGTTTTAGGAATTGGGGAGAGCTTTGAGCTCCACCATACATTCCTCTCCATAGTCGTAGAGATCTCCTGCTGCCAGTGTCCAGCTACTGACACTGAGGTCTCCGCCTGCACTAGCTGGGGACCCACTGGCCCAGTCTTGCCCCTCTGACCCAAGGGGAACATTGGATGGGGCAAGGAGAAGCAGACAGTAGAAAGAGGGAAGTAAAAAAGAAAGAAAGAAAGAAGGAAGAAAATGCCATATGGAGGAGGGAACGGGGAGCTGCCCTAGCCGTCCTGGGGGAAACATAGGAGGAAGGAAGATAGGCTTGGACAGCTGGTTCTCCACACTAGCAACATGGCCTCCACTCCCCTCTCCTCGGTGTGTGGAAAGGAGGCACTAGACCGCTTCCTGATGCATCTAGAGGAGTGAACATCAAACCATCATGAAAAACCATATAAAGCCAATGAGAAAAAATAGTCACCTACGCGGAGCTGCTCACCATTTGCAGACGGACGGACACAGTGGCATCAACAATGGGCAACAACACAGTAACAATTCTGAGGATATGAAGGACGGGGCAGTGTGTCCCTCTGTTGTACGTGGTGCACTGCTGAGGGCCAAGGTCAACTCAAGGGCACCCAACAACAGCATTTCCTGTACAAGAGGCTTCAAGAAGTTTGTTTGAAAATGGAATGAAGAGGCAAGGGAATGGTCCCACATACTTTTTGAAGCCCCTTCAGCTATTATATTAAATTCCAGCAAGTTTCACTTGTATTGGCACACAAAGCTTTGTTGGTTGCTGTGTGTCTGAATTTCATAGTTATGGGTCCAGCAGCACAGCTCACAATTTGAAAGGGGAAAAAATAATCATATGCCAAGTGCACAGCTTGCTTTAAGGAAGTTTCTGGGAATCGTATGTGTCTGGGGGAAGGGGAGGGCTCTGAGAATTAGAATATTAGTGGACTGCAGAGACAGGATTTCTCTGACTGGATCAACAAGAAACAGGGACTGCAGGGGAGGAAGGAGAAGCAGAGTCTGTGGTAGGGAAACAGCAGACAGGATTCCAACCAAGGCAAGCCCCAGGAGTCAGCTATCCGGTCAGGAACTGCAATCCTTCTGCTTCACAAAGGGAGAACTAGGGCTGCCACACTTCCTGCTTCATGACAGAATCATTGCAGACTTTCAGTTGGGAAATCCGGATGTTTTAGATGTCAGTGATTTCCCAAGGAGACACCCAAAGGTTCCCCTTCAACATAAGGTTCATGGCTTGGGGGAAATCTGGAGTCCTTAGACGAGTTGGTCAATGTGGCCTTTGTCAGGCAGCAGTGGTGTAGCTGATTCGAGTCCTAACTTGCTGCTAATGGGCTTTGTGGGTCTGGGCAGAGGCCTGCCGTACCCTCTCGGTGCCTTCATTTCTTTATCTATAAAATGGAGCCATAATGCACACCTCACCAAAATGGTGTGGATTAAGAAAGCCACGCACACACACATACCGTACCTCAGGGGCAATACACAATAAGGGAAACACCGTGGGGGATATAAAGTTGAGATCGTCACCCAACAAGTGGTTCTGCGTTGTGCTGGGAGCTGAATTTAGACAAGCCACTTACTCTTCCACAAGCTGTTGTCCTCATTTACAATATGGGACTAGAACTCTAAGTCAAGGTGGGGTGCCTCAAAAATTCTAGTGCTCCAGCTCACAGACACCTTCCTCTTACCCACAACTGGTACTATGTGTGAGCAACCAGTTCCATGATGCCAGCCGTTGGCCACCATCCTCAGAAGTTGGTAGGCGATCCCAGGATTCAAGACTGAAAACATTAGTTGTAGATCCTGCATTAGTTGTCTGTGAGCCAAATCCAACGCATGATGAGCCCATGTGTGTCAGATTAGAACCGCGCTCCACAGTTTCCAACCACTGGCTTTTCAGAAGTAGATCACCTGTTCTTAGACCTGGGGCACCTCTGAGGGGACTCGAATCTTCAGCCTTTTGAATAGTAGCCGAGAGCATTAACCCTTACATTACTCAGGGCCTCCTTGGTTATAAGTAGCTCTCACCCATTTTTCCTGCTGTTGTCAGCTCAGCCCCAGAAGTCGTGTTCTCTGGGGATCTTTTCCTTGTGAGTTAGTCCACTTTACTTCGTGTGTCCCTCTCAGCACCGACTGCACAGTGCAGTAATATTTCCAGTTTCCCTCCCCTGGGCTCTCCCCTCCCATAGACTGGAATTCAGGATTCAGTAACACCATGACCCCCCACCACCACCCGACTATCTTCACTGCCACCTGGTGTACCTGGGGGAGCATATGTGTCTGAGTATCTCTCCAGCCACCGCTCATGGTCTCTGGCCTCCCTTCTCCTCTCCTCGGCTCCCCTCCCCTCGTCTCTCTTTCTCTCTCAATTTCAAAGAATTGAAAGAATCGAAGTCTTGCATTCATGAAGCACCCCCACTGCCAGTGCACGTGGGGGGCTGCTGTTAGGGGCCCTCAAGTGGGTTCTGAGCCATCGCAGCCCTGTGTGCAGAAGAACGTGCACGCCATGTATGCACACGAGTAAAACATATTCTCTTTTATGTCTTTGTTTTGATGTTTACTTCATTATTGAAATGTAATACATGCCACGAAACCACCTAACACAGAAACAAATATGTTTACAATAACTTATTTACCTGTATGATCTTCTCCTACGCTCAGTTCAGGTAACCGCAATCTGAACCCTGTGTTCACCATACAATTGCTTTTCTTTTTACTCCTCTCCGCCCGACTTTTTGTGTATGTATCAGTTTTATCTTCACACAAGGGCATTATGCTGTAAGGAACCTCTGGGGACCTTCTTTCTTCCGCTTCATATTAAAAGCTGTATCGATGGGAGGGAGGCTCAGTCATTGTGACCCCTGTGTAATAGGCCATGCTGGGCCTAAGTCATAACTTCCTGTTGATGATCCCCGGCGTTGCTGTGAGTCTTTGCGACCAGGGAGAGTGCCACCACGAGCATTCCTCTGCGGTTCATAGGCAGGAGGGACAAGGAACAGGACTAGCAGACAACTGTGTTCCTGGCTGGTAAAGGTTCATGACTGGTGCATAGCTGACACCATAAACTCCACCTCAGCTTCTGCTCCCCCAGAATCAAACCTATGGCACCAATGCTGCACCTTTGAGCTGAAGCTCATTTCTTCCCAAACCAAAAGACTCCTTGCGAAGAGGTGATGCCCACTCTCAGAGATCCTATGAGACAGAGTAGAACAGCCTTACAGGGTCTCCAAGGCTTTAAGCCATTTAGAGAAGCAGACTGTCGCATCTTTCTCCTGTGAAGCGACCAACCTTTCAGTTAACAACTGGGTTGCTAAGCACTGTGCCACCAGGTCCTCTTCAGTTCTTCCTAGACCTTGGGACTCACAGAAGCAACCAAGACACGATTACATGTCAAAGGGGCTCACCTCCCACCGGGCCACCTGGGATCTTTACTGCCACCTGACCAGGGAGGGGTCCAGGTCCAGAATCCCATTCTGGCCATCTGCTTTCTAGATCCTCTCCAGAGCAGAGAACAGAGTCTCCGGTAAGGCCTATGTGCACATGGTTTGAAGAAATGCTCCAATCGAATCAGACTGGTGGCTGGAAAGAGTGCAACAGGGAAGGTCAGGTGTGGAGTATATCCACTATAGAGAGTATATCCACTTGAAAGGAGATATTTGTACATGTGAATTTGTTAGATCTCTCTGTAGCTAGATCTATACCTCGGTCCTCGGCTCCGCACGAGAAAGAATTCACGCTGAAGCCTGGTTCGTGATCGAAGTGAGTTTTATGAGAGTTAGAAGAAGTTTCAGGTTTACACGGCATCCAAGGGCCTCCTCCCAGACATGCGGCCTGGCTGGAAGCTGCTCGGTGTCACGCAAAAGTCTCTCAAAGTCCTGCCAAAGCTCTCTGCGCCAAAGTTCTCTCTCTCCCTCGACTCCGGGCTTCTGCCTTTTCAAGGATTCCACGGGGAGGCATGGTGGACGACTCCTGATCGACCCCATTGGCTGAATTGAATTCACCTGGCCTAGGTGGGCCAATTCAGGTTCACGCCCACCCATTCCTACCAGCGGGAACCTGAGCCTCTGGGTATGTGCAGTGCACCACTATTTTGTTCCCGTAGCTTGGCCCTCTGGGCATGCCTTAACGGACATCCCCCAGCCCTATGCTGGTCTACCTAACAAATTTACATTTGCTGAAAATATATACAGTAAAATGGTGGAGGATACAGGGGAAGATGCTATGAAAACATCTTAAACACAATCAAACACCTTGAGGAAATGAGTGTATGGGCTTGAGAGGATTGGGACCATGCTTCAGGGAATACCAAGCTTGATCGGCATAACCTGGTTCACAAAGACAACGTTCTATATCCTAAATTGATGGGCAGCATCTGGGGTCTTCAAAACTCGTGGGCAGCCATCTAAGTTGGTGAATGTCCATCCAAGGTGTACCTATTGGTCTTTTCCTCTCCAGAGGGCAGAAGGATTGAGAAAATGAAAGACAACGGAAACTGTTAGACCCGTAGACCGATGGCCCATGCAATGGACCCCAGTCTCTGACTCTGAGAACAAGGGCACAGCGACCACTACCTACCACTCTGAAAGAGAGCACATGATAAAGTCCTGGGTGGGGTGAGAGAAAAATGTGAAACAAAACACAAAATTATTGTTTTTTAAAAAGACCAGGCTTGCTGGACTGACAGAGATTAATGGAACCAAAACATGACCCTAAGTGTCCCTTCAGGTCTGGAAACTCATCCTCTTGGCTGTGTTCCGCCAAACAATAGACAAGTCTCTCTACCTCACTATGGAGGTAGGCACATCTTAGAATCATCAAACACATGAGATCAAAAGGGCAGTACTCACCCAACAACCAAGTTCAGAAGGGTGAAGAAAGAAGGAAACACAAGGGGGAATTTGGATCAGTGATATTACATTATGGGGATTGTAATCAATGACATGAAACAAAATGTGGGTGGATTCTTGGATGGAAAACTGATCTGATCTATAGACCTTCACACATGCCTAGTGGGACTTAATCAAGGGCAATGTAGCAGTGAGGAATTACTAAACCCGAATGAAGGCTGAATATGATGGTGGGAGAATAGTAAAGTAAAAGGAAATAGAGGAAAGAACCAGGAGGCAAAGGACATTTATAGAGATCTAAATACAGGCATGTACATATGTAAATATATTTTTATATGACAAGAGGGGAATAGATCTGTGTACTCATATCTATATGTTAAGAATTCAAGTAGCAGATGGACATTGGGCCTCAACTCAAATACTCCCTCAAAACAAGAACACTTCGTTCACATAATCAGCATTCTGTGATGCTCACCTTCCTGACACAATCTCTGAAGACAAAGTGTATGCTTGAGCAAACGTGGTGAAGAAAGTTGATGGTGTCTGGCTATCCAAAGAAATAGCATCTGAGGTCTTAAAGGCTTGAAGATAAACAAGAGGCCGTCTAGCTGAGAAGCAACAAATTCCACATGGAAGAAACATTCCAACCTGTGTGATCATGAGGTGTTGATGGGATCAGGTTATCAGGTATATAAGACCCAAAACAAAATCATACCCAATGTGAAAGGGGTTGGGGGTGGTGGAATAGAGACCCAAAGCCCATCTGTAGACAATTGGACATTCCCCTCATGGAAGGGTCACAAGGAAGAGATGAGCCA